TAGTTTTAAATGGTCCTAGTTAGTTTTAACTGTCAACTTGACACAGCCTAGAGTCACCTAGTGAGGACTTTCCCAGGTCAGATTGGCATGTGGGAGTTTCTGTGGGGAATGTCTTGATGGCTTTAGCTGATGCAGAAGGGTCCAGACCACTATGGGCAGTGTCATACCCTGGGTCAGTGGTCCGAGGCTGTGTCAGAAAGCTAGCTGGGCATGAGCCTGCAAGAGAGCCGGCAAACAGCCTTCCCCATAGTTTCCGCTTCAGGTTTCTGCCCTGACTTCCCTCAATGATGGACTGAAATAAATCTTTCCTCCCTAAGCTGTTTTTGGTGAGACTGGTGTATTGCAGCAGCAGAGACCAAACTATGACTTATTTTCTTCCCCAGTTGCTATGGAGGCTTTTGTTGAATGATTGGGACAGTGTTGGTGTGTGGCTAGGTGCCAGATGCCTGGGCAAAGTCCTTTTGCAGCCATCCCATGATAGCCACAGGTCCACATTTTCCCATGGGGCTCTTCCCACTGCTTTTCCAGAATCTTTTCTCCTTGTGAATTCTCCATCTGCTTCTCAGAGCATCTTCCTACTGTTGTTGTCCTGGATGGTCTGGGGGAAGTGGTGGTCAGATGCCCAAGGAAGGTGTGACCTAAAAACCTAGGTTTTGAATGAAAGCGGAAGGCGGGGGCGGGGGGGGGGGCCGGGGGTGAGGCTAGGAAGAAGGTAGATGTAGACAAGGAAAAGAATCCATTTGTCATCATCATGATTATAGCCCATCAGTCTAGTGTGATCTTGGCTTCAGTGACTGTCCAGGACAGTCATCGTGTTGGAAAAGCACTTTGATTGGAAATCAAGACACAGGTTTGTCTCCTGTTCTTTGACTTGTTTCTAGCAGACATTTAGTGAAATAGTACCATGTACCAGGAATATACCTGTTAAAAACAGACCCCAGAACTCCATGGAGAGATAGTGAATACATAATTAACTTCCAGGAGAGAGAAGAACATTGAGAGGTGACCTGTCTTCCTAGTCCTGAGCAAAGCGGTGGCTTTTCAAAGTTTTTTTCCAGGGCTGTGGCCAGGGCTCAGGTTACCTCTCAGGGATTCCACCTCATAGAGACCCCTGAGATGCTTAACAAAGCCCCAGGTCAAGATACTTCCACCACTTTGCTCTACCATGGCTACAGTCTCTCAAGGCCTCTAAGTTGCCCTCAAAAGCATGAAGACCTGAGTATGGAGCCCCAGAACCTATGCTTGCTAAGGCATGGGTACCTTAATCCCAGGGCTGGGGAGGCAGAGACATAGGTCTGTGGGGTTTACTCAACAGCCAGTCCAGCCAATCGGTGGGCTCCAAGTTCAGTGGGAGACCCTATCTAAACAATAAAGTGGAGAGCAATGGAGGAAGGCATCTGACTTTGTTTGACCTCTGGCCTCCAAACGAGTAAGTGTGTGTATGTACACCACACTCAAATGCCCATATCCACATGAACACACACACACACACACACACACACACACACACACACACCATGCACAGACACTACACTACACATACACAGAAAGACAAAGACAGAGAGAGATAGAGACACAGAGAGACACACACAGACACATAGACGCACAGACACACAGACGCAAACAGAAAGACAAGAGAGAGACAGACACACACATACATACACACAATCACAGAGAGAGACAGAGACACAGAGACAAAGAGAGACAGAAACACAGAGAGAGACATACAGACACATAGACAAACACAGAGAGACATACAGAAAGACACACAGACACAGAGAGAGACACACAGACACAGACACAGACACAGGGAGATGGGGGAGGGAGGGAGGAGAAAGAGAGATCTTTGCATCCTGTGCCTCAGTGTGAAGTTCTAACTGATGAACATGTTCTTGTGTTGAAAAAAAAAAAAGCTTGAGATTACAGCCTTCTGGCCCAGGGATTGAGAATGGAGGGGCTCTTTGTATGACAACCAGATCATCCATCCCACCATGCCGGCATACAACACTGCAGACACTTCTCTCTTTACGTTCCGAAGTGCGAATTTGTGACCTCTTGTTTGAGACCGATAATTTGGGAACATTAATTCTAGCGTTCTAGAGCATTCAGGGTAGGTCTTACTTCCACACTTGCGGTCCCATATGCCAATCATCTGGGAATGTCCCCCAAAGGCACACTGAAGCGGGCTTTACTGACATCTGCTGGGCATGCGTCTCTCAAGCCTGTCAAGATGATGGTCAAGATCATGCAGACTTCATCCCGTAGTTCTCAGCTCCGGGTTATTCTCTAAGTTAGCCTGACTCTAAACATTACCCATCCTCTCGTCTCTTCTTTTCTTTTCTTTTTTGTAGATGTGAGAATCAAACCCAGGGCCTCAAATTGGATGCTGTATGTAATCCTAGCATTTGGGAGGCCGAGAGGGGAGGATTTCTGTGAGTTCAAGCCCAGCCTGGGATGTAGAGTGAGACCTTATCTCACTCTTTACCTTTCTACCAAAGCCCAGGGCCTCACACATGTTAAGCAAGTGTTCCACCATTGAACTACACACCCCCAGCCTAGCTTTTGAATTTTATATATTCAAATGGCCATAGAATCGTGGAATACTATAGTAGCCACCCAATATTTTCCCATTGTCTCCATACTCATTTTTAATATTTATTTCATGGCTATATCTATAAAGGTTTGGGATTGACTCTAGGGAAACAAGAGAATGAATATACTAGGAGTTCAGTTCTGTATGTAAGCAGGAAATTAAAATGGTAGTCATATCATATCAATGAGAGATGGAGGGCAAAAAGAACCAGGAGGCCAGGGAGAGAGAGCTCGGCTCTGCCTGGCAGTGTCGAGGACATCTTCTTGGTCTGTTCTGACTTTGGTTTCCAGTTTCCTGGCAGCTACTAACTCAGAGATGACCTCTAGGTGAGGGCCAGGGTGAGTGGAGGGCAGTGGCGAGCTTAAGTGTCCCCAAGAAATGCTTACACTGCGTCACAGACTCTTCACTCTGGCTTAGCTGGGTCTCCGCTATACCCGTGGCCACATATAGACCTGTTGGCGTAGAACGTCTATGCATCTTTGCATACCACTATCTGTGGATGTGGCTAACTCATTTCAGTTTTCCTGGGAGTTGCTTTGTTTTGGCGCCAAACTGTGGTTAATCTACACAGTTCTCATCAGCTCCAGGCAAACCAGAGTTGTTAATTACCCTGCAAGAGTGCTCAGTGTTGGTGCTTGATGTCCACAGAACATTCTAGATGCCTGTGATTGTTCAACTCCATTGTCAGCTTGATTGAGAAGCATCTAGGTAATTATTAAAGTGTGCCTCTGGGTGTGCCTGAGAGTGTTTCCAAAGAGGCTTAACTAAGGGGAAAAGACACGCCCCGCATGTGGGCAGCATGCTCCTATAGGTTGGCTGCTGATGGAATTGCAGAGGGAAGGGTCCACAAGCATAGGCATTCCTTTTCCTGCTTCCTCAGCGACAATGGAGCAGTTCCCCCATGCAGTCCCATGGTGGGCGCCTGCCCACCGCTATGGACGGAAACCGTGGAAACCATGAGCCAAAAGAAACACCCCTTCTACCCCCAGCAAGGCGTGTTGTCATAGCAACAAGGACATGGCTAGCCATTGGAAGAAATGCAACCGTTGTATCAAAGCACAGCTCCTAAGTTGATGTGCAACAACTGAGAAGCGTTTGGGGACTTCAAGGCAGAAGGAAGGGGCCTAGGCTCCCCAGAAAGTCACCCCAGGGCAACTGGACACGCCAGAGCAATGGCCTTGGCAATGTGGTGGCTGCGGCGGGTCCAGCCACCTCTCCTGGAGCTGCGCCAGGATCCCCCACTGCACACTGAGCTCTCAATTACTTGAGTGAAGGAAATGAATGAAGAACACACAGTCTGGGCCCTCCAGCCCGCAGACCACAGCTAAACAGAAGCTTCTGAACAGAAGATTCTGGGGAGCACATCCTGCCCTCTTCTTGTCACTGCAGGGCACACTACAGGAAGCTAAGGACATTGCTTCAGGGAAGGCAATTGTGGGTATCCTGAAAGCGAGTCAGACGGAGAAGACGTGTGGGTGGTTCATGTTCCTGCGCCTTGGGCTTCCTCTACACAGACCCCTAGACCCACTCACTGTGAGGGAGAGATGCAGGATTATTAGGGCACACCTCTCCTTGCCTCCTGTAGGAAGCACAAGAAAGCCTTTGGCCAATCTGGTCCTAAGTGTCTCTCTAGAGCCAGATCTAGCAACCCCCTCATGGCTCTCTTCCAAAGGTTAAACAGTTCCCACAGGGTACAAGAAAGGGTTATTGAAAAACAGCAGGTCTTTTTTTTTTTTTTCCTTAACTTCAGCACTTCTGGTAAATCTCTGATCCAGCATCTAGTGGTTAACCACTGATACAGGAAGTGACATTTAACGTTTTTTATCACTCAGCCAGAAATGGAAGAACAAGGCAAGTCTGTGTTTAGGGAAGATGGATGGCTGCCCACCACCTTCGTCTTAAAGGCACATCACCACTTTTCCTGGCTGCTGGGCTGCTGGGCTGCTGGGCAGCGTGTTTCCCTCCAACCCGGTCACTTCATTGTTGGGGTGAAGCAGGAGTACCAAGAGGATGCTCACAGGCTGCTCGGGGTGGGAGCACAACCTCGTTGGCTACTGGTAGGGGTGAAGCAGATGGTACTTGCTTCCCCTTTCTCAGGAGCCGTTGCGTGTGGGGACAGGCAGGAAGGAAATGATCTGGGATGCCTGTGTCCCAGGCCCATCAAACCACAGCCTCAGCCTGGGGTGGCTGAGTTCGCGAGGCCACCTGGCCAGCTGAGACTTGGAACACAATCCTCTTGGCCATGGCAAGGAGGACAGTCACCTGAGGCCTTGTTAACTCCTGCCAAGGTGCTCAGGGACTCCTAAAGCTAATATTGGACATTGCAAGCCATGTTGGGGCCAGCGCATTGGGTTTCACTAAGAAGTTGCTGCCGTCACTGGCTTCCCTATTTTCTGTTGCATCTCAGGAATGAGGGGTTTTCAGTGTAACTGTGAGGTGGATCCCTGGTAACAAGAATGACAGGAAAAATCATAAGCACTCCGAGTTCCTCAGTGTCCGAGTTTACCACCTTTCCCTGCCCAGCATCTGGAGCTTGTAAGCACCACAGCCAGGACTCCACACCAAGTTGAGCCTGAAGTACCAAGTCCTGCTCTGGAGGTAAGACATGCAGCTGCAGGCATCACGCCCTGGCCCAGTCTTGCCCCTTGAAGGGAGGCCTAAAGACACTGCAAAGCATATGTGGGAACCCTGCTGGAGGGTGTGGGTGCATCAGACACTGTACTGTCGGCAAATACTCCGTCTTCCCACATTTGTCAGGGTGCCAGATTCTCTGAGAGATTCCCCCTTCTTCAGGAAATGGCATGATAAGATTATGAAAAAAAGTCATTGTGTTACAAAATTGTCTTTTCTCCTCTTGCCCTTTGTATGTGACCCACGTGGATTCTCGGCCCTGTCAACACGAGCAGGCAGCGATGCCATGGGCCTGCTCTGTCACTGAAGTGGGTAGGTGTCATAGGGTCAGCAGGTCCACCACGAGGCCAGCTGCCCCGGTGAGTAGAGTCACCTATTGATTTCTGCTCAACTTTGTTCTAGGGAAGATTTGAGGTGACAAGCCACTCCTGGTCTCTTGGAGCCTCAGCTTGTCTATCCACGCACTTGAAGAGCTCATGAGAGCTAAAGATCTCTGCAAAGAAAGTGCATTCTTCCGAATTTGCACTTCTCTCCACGAGGGGGACAGCTTTGGTGACTTCAAAGTGTTTCTGGAAGGACAGAATTGCACTTGGGTGTCCCATGCCCCGGGCTGTATGTACAGTGGTGTAGGACTTCGTGTTGGAAGTGGTTGAAGAGTCAAGAGTAAGGTTCTGGTCCTCCTTGGGGCAAGCTGCTTCTCAAGCCCATGTCTTCTCCACACCCGCCCTGTAGAGATTTTACCTGACAGACGCAAGTGGAACAAACAACAAGGCAAACTGAGCTGTTTCCTGTGACAAAGGACACAAAACCACCCTGTATCAAAGCCACAGTCTCTTCAGGGTTGCCCATGCCTGTCTGCCCAGTGCTAGGAACTTAGAAAACATGCATGGCCGGGTCCACCTTAAAAATCAGCACTAGCATTTGCATGTATGTGTCTATGTACGTGTGTGTGTGTGTGTGTGTGTGTGTGTGTGTGTGTGTGTGTATGTACGTGTGTGTTCATGTGTGTGTATGTGTGTATAGGCATATGTGTGTATGTGCACCCATGCTGGTGTCTGTGTGTGTATTTGTATGTGTGTGTTCATACGTGTGTAAGCACGTGCGCACATGTGTACCCATGTCTGTGTATGTGCAGAGGCCAGAGAACTCCTTTCCATTATTCCCTTGAAGCAGGCTCTCCCACTGAACCTGGAGCTCACCATGTTCTGCTGGGCTGGGGTCCACCCGTCTCCCCCACCTGCAGCACTAGGTTTGTGGGTGCCGAGGACACAGCAAAAGTGCTCTTACTCAGCTAGTCACAGCCCCAGCATTTTTACAAGGGCCTTAAGTTCTAGGTGTACAGACCTTGTAGAGAACCTCCTTTTTAAATGAAGAGACAGATACGTTTTAAAAAAAAACAACACCAGAATATTCTACCATGCAGAAAATTACATGCTCTGATTTGGGTAATTACAGGTTGCTATGGAAGCACAGAGGTAGAGCCACTTAGCCCAGCCCAGGAAGAGCTGGTGCAGGAGGCAACCTCACAGATGAGATTTCAAGATCAGGAATTAACCAGGTGAATCAGGACAGCAGGAGCTGAGGTAAAGGGAGTGGAGTCAGGAAGGGTGTGAGGTGGGAGTGGGTAGGACTCAGGACATGCTTTGCTGTCTCCTGAACTGTGTCAGCAGCCATGACCCATCTATGGGAAGTCGGGAGCACACTGAAGGGAGGGACAAGGATAACCAGGCTTGTCACGGGCAGTGGTGGCTGCCGAGGCTGAGCCTCTGGGCTTGGTTGTGCAGGAGACTCCATGTGGGACTAAGCAGGTTTGCTCATGGGAGGTTCACACAAGTCCCAGAAGCTGTCCAGGCCCGAGAGCTTCTGCAGACAGCTCATGATCTGTAGGGTCTGTGCAAGCATCCCGGGGGCAGCACGGTCCTCCTGGGAGCATTGCGGGGGAATGCATACCTCAGGATAATGATGAGGGTGGATGCTGCGTTCTTTGCATCTTGCCAGCCTGTTCAGATGTCCAGAGCTGCTTCCCACTCAAGAGGCTCATTTCCTCAGCTCAGCCCACCCAGACCAACCCTGGAATCCCTGAGGCAAACTGACAGCAAACTGACACTTTTTGTGATCCGTTACTGCATCCCATTTTTCTCATGTAAATAAAACCCTACTATCTACCTCACATCAGATTCCTAAAATAATAATAGTAATATTTCTCTCCTCATTAATTTCCCCCTTCTCCCTTCTTCCTCTTCCCCTTTTCCTCATCCTCTTTCCTCTCCCTTTTCTCTTTCCTCTTCCCCACCTGCTGCTATGAACTAGAGACTCTTTATATAGCCTAGGTAGGATTTGAACTCATGGTTTTCTTGCCTTAGCATTCCGAGCGTTGTGATTACAGGCATGTGCCACCTTACCCAGACTCCTTTATGTTCTTACTACTAAATGAGTCCATATAGACACCCATGCCATCCCCGCCTAGGGACTTCCCCCATCTGGAGTCCCACTCGTTTTCTTACTCATACCCAGTTATGTACCTCCACTTCCACAGCCCACTGAGGCTAACTTCTTCCCCATTCTTGTCACCCCTCTTTGCTTCTTTGTCTTCTCATAGTCTTCTGCCATGACTCGACCGCCTTTTGGAGGCTTCTTTTCTGCTTTACCTGACACAGTGTTATTCCACAAAAATTTGAACAAGTTCTGCAAAACTGATTCTATTACTTTACTCTTATTTATTTATAATTTTTCTGCAGTAGTGGAGATTAAATCTGGATCCTCACGCCTCCCCAGCAAGTGCTCTACCATTGATCTATATCCCCATTCTTAATCTGAATTGTCAGGGTTGTGTGATGGGTTGTTAACTGGACTTGGAATCACCTAGGAGACAACTGTCTGGGTACATCTGTAAGCGTCTTTCTGGAGAGACTTAGCGAAAGGGAGCAGACAAGCTGAGTGTGGGCAGTGTCACCCCATAGGTGGGGTCCTGGACCAAGTCAAGAGGAGAAGTGAGTGGGCATTGGTACCCAGGAGTCTCTGCTTCCTGAGTAAGGCGCAGTGTGAGCAGCCGCTTCAGGTCCATGCTGCCATGCAGGCCCTGCCATGATGGACTGCACCCTCAAACTTCAAACCCAAGAAACCCCTCCTTAATTCACTTTTGTTAGATATGTTGTCATAGCGTAGGTAAAATAATTAATATAGGCTGCTTAGTGTTAAATATAGCCGCATAAGAGAAAATATGTCATAATCCATATATAAACAAATGATAAATAATGACTGTGGCACACTTGTCTGAGGGCATGTAGAAACAAAGATTGGAGTGTAATGAAGTTCTGTCCTAAACTCTCCAGGAAGCCCAGCATCTCCTGTGGATCCTTCATAATTCATATTCTAAGCAGATGAAGTACTGGGAGAGGTGTGCAAATTAGTGTTTGCCTCCAGGCTCCTTTTGTTATTTGCAAAATATATTTTTCCTGTATACCATATAAACGTGAGCCTTCCCTCTGCTGTCATTTCTCCTTGGAATTTTCCCACTGAACACATCCGTATTGAGTACCTCGTTATAGTCTTTCCTTCTTTCCTCCCCCTCCCCACTTCTCTCTCTCTC